AAAAATGAAGGCCAAAGCAAAAGAATAACCAGCCAGGTGTCTTCCCAACATGGATCCCAGGGAAGGTGGGTCACCAGGGCTCTGCCCAACATGGATCGTGCAGTGGGGGATGGAGCTGGAGCAGCGCATGAAGCTCTTCCCACACTCGAGGCTCTCGCAGAGCTTCCCTTAGCGGTGCCTCCGTTGGTGTCTGGACAAGACTGAGCTCTGGGAGAAGCTCTTCCCACACTCCTCACACTTGTAGGGCCTCTCCCCAGTGTGGATGCGCCGGTGGGTGACAAGGGTGGATTTGTGCCTGAAGCCCTTCCCGCAGTCAGAGCACTGGAAAGGCCTCTCCTCCGTGTGTGTCCGGTAGTGCTGGAGGAGAGTGGAGCTGGTGGGAAACCTTTTCCCGCACTTGGAACACTCGTAGGGCCTCTCCCCAGTGTGGGTATTTTGGTGGCGGATCAGGTGGGATCGGTGCCTGAAGTCCTTCCCACACTCCTCACACTTGTAGGGCCTCTCCCCAGTGTGGGTCCTCTGGTGGCGGATCAGGGTGGAGCTCTGACTGAAACTCTTCCCACATTCCTCACACTTGTGGGGCTTTTCTCCGGTGTGGATGCGCCGGTGTTTGGTAAGGATGGCATTTTCCCTGAAGCCCTTCCCGCAGTCGGGACAGCGGAAGGGCCTCTCCTCTGTGTGCGTGCGCTGGTGCTGGAGGAGATTGCTGCTGGTCTGAAACCTCTTCCCACATTTGTCACACTCGTAGGGCCTCTCCCCAGTGTGCTGCATCTGGTGATAAATCAGTTTAGAGCGGACCGTGAATCCCTTCCCACACTCAGAACACTTGTATGGTCGTTCTCCTGTGTGCATCCTCTGGTGCCGGATCAGTTGGGCACTCTCTCTGAATCTCTTCCCACACTCCCCACACTCGTAGGGCCGTTCCCCAGTGTGGATCCTCTGGTGCTGGACCAGGTGGGAGCTGACTCTGAATCTATCCCCACACTCCCCACACTCATAGGGCCGTTCCCCAGTGTGGATCCTCTGGTGCTGGATAAGGCTGGAGCTGTCTCTGAATCCCTTCCCACACTCCCCACACTCATAGGGCCGTTCCCCAGTGTGGATCCTCTGGTGCTGGATTAGGCTGGAGGTGTCTCTGAATCCCTTCCCACA